CTAATAGATTTATTTGGAGGCTCATGGCTCCAGTTCCCCACAGACACCCTCATAAATCTGTCTTCCCTTTTCTTTTGACCTGTCCCTTGCCCTGGGTCGGGGACACTGGAGTGGACCACATACCTGTGCCAGGGATGGGGACCTTATTTTCCCGCTTGTGCGGTGCACAAGATCTGTGAAAAATGTAAATAACAGACTCCTATCTCGGACTGGTCAGGGGGAGCTCCTGCTCACCAGAAATGCTAGCCCTGTATTTCGCCTGCTGTATTTGTAATCCACTCATGGTGGTGGTGTTCTGTGTTTTGTTTTTGTTTTTTTTAACACAAGTTCCTGCCTGGAAGGGAGTCAGGGAGGGGGAGGAATGGGGAGAGAAATCCTGGGGTGGAGAAAGGGAGCTGCAGCTGGTAATCAGACTGAACAATCGTACCCTTGGAATGAGTGTGCCTCCAGGTGGACCTGGGAATTGTCCGAGAAGGGTCAAGATGACACCACGCAGGCCGACAGACAGTGCTTCCGTTGGGGGCCAGCCTGGGCTGAGAGCAGCTGCAATGGTCAGGTTTTTCTCTGGCCTCCTGCGCTCTGTCTGCCTCTTGCCCTCTGTCACCCTCTCAGGGCTCTGACTCTTGCTCACTCACTCTCCCCGCCTTGCCTCCGTCTGTCTTTGGTGCATCTTTCTTTGGTGCACAGTCAGTCATGTTGAGAAATGGAGTTCGGAGGAACTCCCTCTCTAGCCCTTACTCTGTGGACAAAAACTAAAAAGGACAGAAAGTTAGAGGAAAGCATAGCAACTCAGCTCAGGGAGCTACCAGAGAAAAATAGTGATGATGAGGGTGCTTTTTTTTCTTCTTTTTTTTTTTTAAGAAAGAATTAGAAGTGATGTCCTTTTATAAAATGCCTTCTCTCCTTTCAAGCCTGTGATTCCCCCTGCCCCCAAGGGAAAGTGTATTTAATCTACAGGATTGAGTCTGAAAGGGTTATCCCTGCCCCGCAAGAGGGCTGCGGGGGCAGAGGACACTAGGAGGTGGGGGTAGGGGCACTGATATCCTGGCACACTGTGGTGACTTCTTGCAGCTTTCTTTTGAGCCCAAACACTTTACAAGTAGAATATTGTCTCCCAGGTACCACTTTTTGGTGCCAAAATGTTCTGAGGAGTTGGGATTCTTTTTCCCTTTTGGTCTTTCTTTCTTTCTTCTTTTAAGGAAAAGCTAAAGGCCATTTGAGTCCTGGTGGTAAGCTCTCCTTGGATGTAGCATACGGAAGATAATTTTTATACTGCATTTTTATGGCTTATTTTATAATGTATGATTCTGTCTGGTGAGAAGGAAGGAGGGGCTCCTGTGAAAAACCACCCATTTTCACTGATCTTGCTCCTGGGCCAGCATCACCCCTGACTTGATGTCCAGGCCACCGAGACTGGCCAGGTGCCCTGTACCTTTCTGAGGTNCGGCTAAGCACTGGTTAGCAGTTCACACCGCGTTTCCATGGCAGCCGCCACATCTGGGGTAGGTCTTACTTTAGAGGGCAGCAGGTCACAGCCTGACCCGCTTTGCCTCTCCCCTGCAGGCAAGTGGTTTGTGAGCACTGGGAAAGATAACCTTCTCAATGCTTGGAGGACACCGTACGGAGCCAGCATATTCCAGGTACCACCTGTTATCCAAGTGCCCCTCTTGGTTCTGCCCAGAGTCAGGGTCGGGCTGTGGTGATGGGGGTGGGGAAGGTGAGGGGCAAAGCAGTACCTGCCCTGGTTCTTCCAGCTCCTTCCCATCAGGGTCTCCAGAAGCAAGGACTTGGGCCCATCAGTATGGTACTCTCTGCTGCTAATGACATCTGACCCCTCAGGGTGAGGGTTTTTAGGCAGGGGCTCTTGTAGGATTTCTAGAGCCAAGAGGAGAGAAAACGTGCTCTTGGCTCTGGCCTGTATGCGGAGCACTCAGAGGCAGTGAGGAGTGTAGCACACAGGACAGCTCTTTTCAGAACAGTGTTACCTGATACTCAAGTAAGGTCGTATTTCATCTCAGCATTTCAGAGGTGGGGCAGGAGGAAAAGGTCCAGAAAGAGGTGGGAGAGGGAGGAGGCTTTTTCTGATTCTTCAAGATCTGTGGCCTGACATCCAAGAGTGCTGTGGGCCCTGCAGTGGGCTTCTTGTGGACAAGCCCGTGGAAGGGGCATCTCTAACTAAAAGCGCCTCTCCTGGGCTGTGTTTGAAGTCCATGCTGTGTGCACTTCAG